GACTAATAGTAACAGATCAGGTATTTGGTAAACTACAGTTGTTGATTATGGGCCTAAAATTAGTGATCTTGTGACTAAGTGGCTTTTATGATTCCCATTTAAAAACAGAAGTACTGAACTACAATCTCGATCCTTAATTATCACAATATTAAGAATGAACTCGGTTAGACGGGATATTAAATAAAAAATTTCTTATACTTGGTTACATTTTAAACAAATTTCAATATATATAGAATTAACTGTGCACTTATCCCTCCCTCAGACATAGGGATACCTCAAATAAGTGAAATAAAATTTCTCCTGAACTCATATAATAGTTTTTCATATAGATAGGTGTAAGGCAAAGCATTTAGTAACTTTGCAGTCGAACGATAGGACATTGACAAACCTCAACATCACAGTCACAAAACCGAGATATCAAAGGTTGTATGTATACAATCTTAATGTTTATCGCAACAAATATGCCAAACCGTCCCAGTGACATGAGTTACTTGGATTATTCTCTCTAAGCGTCTGTTCCACACCACATCTACCCCATAAAGTGAGTTGAAGAAGGCCTCGTAAAAATTCACAATTGAATTAATTACGTTAGGGACATCACACACACATTGGCCTGCTCGTGAAAGTTAGTTCAGCTAACTGCGCTACTCTCGACAAAGAACATCCTGGCATCCCCCTCCCCACTCCAACTAGAAGCTTTAATGCCAGTCCTAGATTATTCGATTTCTGCCTTGAAAATTGTGTTACTTTATAGTATAGACTTACCTCCACGTGGTGCCCCCTGAGCAACGTATACTCATACGGTAAAAGTCTATTAACCGGCAGTTGACCTCTGACTTCAAACTACCATGACCCCCCCTGGTTGTCATATTCGACCCCTTTCACAGTACTCACCTTACCTTTTTCTCTGCCTTTGTGTCTGTCTGCCTCTTTTACATCTGTGAATCGCTCTTCTGTTCCCCACCCCTCGACTTTCTGCTACTTTGATGAACCTTCCCTCTGTGAAGCCCGAAGTCAGCTAAATGATTAATGATATCTATCAAAACGCCTGCCATTTTAAATAAATAAATAAATATTCTGCAGCCAGCATAAAGAATAATTTTCGTCGATTAAGATACTGTAGTCAAGGGAAACTAGGTCCCCCCTTAAAGAAGGAGGTTAATCACTAAATCACAGTTTCTTAAATCACAATAGCCTGTGTCGAGAAAAAGAAAGAAGTGCGCTTTAGACTTTGAGATTAGCTTGCTTAGAAAAGGATCGGATCTAGCCAATGAGCACTTGCCACAGACACTACAATAAATGCCAATGTCGATCATCGGAAAAAAAAACAGAGCGAAGAAATCCAATCAGTGACCTTCCAATGAATTGAATGATCATAAATCAACAAAAATGGGCTTTTAGTGACTTTTCCTACTAAATGGGAAGTATCCGAACCAGGAAGACAGAAAATAGCGAATCATGAAACTCCTAACTCACTACTTACCATTCAAGTTAATAAACACTTTATTGTAACCAGTAAACTTTAGGAAGAGACATACCTAATGCACATATATTCTTAATACATGGACCTCAAAGTGATATCCGCCTTGTTTAAACTCTTAACTGATAGAAAACCTCATGATCAATTCGAGTTAAAAAGAATGTGAGTAGCCAGTTTATCCTTAACAACGCGATTTTTTTAATACTCTTGCAGACTTAACTCCTCTTTCAGTTCACACAACGTATGATTCATTTTTCTACCTCTACAATGTTTATCAGTTACCTATGCTTCCACTTTTACCGGCAAAATGTGCGGTTCGAATATCGAGAAAAGGATGGCAAAATGTGTTCAATCCGAAAAGTATTTCAGAATAGTACTTCGATTCTCTAGTACAAACCAAACCAAAATTGATTCGCACACACTAATTTAAGCCGTAGAAATAATTAAATGTAGAAAGAACCCCGCTTTAATCATAGTGAGTAGCAATTATTCACTTTCCTTAAGGTAATAAATCGTTGCTATTTTTCCTATTTTTGTGTCCATAGGCAAGCTTTAAACCACATTCAAGAAGAAAAAAAGCTTAATCTTCGGACTCAAGTAAAACATGCATTAAAACTCATAAGTACTACCAAACAAGGTGGTACGTAGGACAGTAAGTCTAATCTCTTTCCCACTCTTAAATAAGGCAGGACTTAGTTATCCTAGAGAAAATAGAATTATTCGCTTTTTAGTGCAATAGATTTACCCAGTGTTTTGAAATGAGTAGCGCAAAGTTCAATAAATATACAGACTGGGGAAACTGAAAACGCTGTCAATCACTGATCGGGTTGCGTAAAATACGCAATTCTGAAAAACAAACTATCGGACTGAAATGAAGACACAACTAGTATGAATTACACAACGGAGAGTCCAAAGTGTAGACAATTATGCAACAGGAACACAAGACATCTTCGATTTTTTAGGCCAAAAGCAGTTTCCTTATAGATTTACAAAGGGGTTATCCCCAATTTTCAACAGAACCATGACGACAAATTGACATAAAAATAACATTTTCGTTGTAGTCATTGCATTACTGCCAAACAGGCAACAGAACCCTTCATAATCACCAATATAACAAAACAGGGAACGTTAATGGTGCATAAGAAGAAAACAGGAGTTAGAAATACATGAGTTTAGTGAGAGCTTTACCCACACACCGATAGACACATCAACCAGCACAGACCCACAGAACTCATGACTCAGAGGGTAAAGACACGAGGAAATAATGCGGAGAAACAGATGAAGTTGGAAGGTCACTCATAGTAATTAAGGAGTAGAGGGCTTACGAACTTGTGTACAGGGGATCAAACTGTATCTAATAGTCATCGAGATCGAAATCTTCATCAAAGTCCAGGTCGCCACCAGCCATATGTTGGAAGTCAACTTGATATCTAAGGATACCTCCAATTCCACCAAAACCACGAACAAACTGGGATCCCTCCTGTGATTTGTCAGTTACAATCTCAAGAACGGCTCCAAAGGATCGATAATTTAGGGCAAGCCAGTCTAATAGCAATTGACTTTCCTCAATTTCCATTTCTGTCTGCGTTTCAGGATCAAGGAAATTGCTGCGATCTCGTTCTTGCTCCGGTCGTAAGTGAATCACTCGCTTTTCTAACAAATAAAATGAAAAATATCAAACCGACTAGAACTGAAATTAAATTGGAAACAAAAGTTGTAAAGATGCATATTGGAAAATAAATCAAACGAAATGGTATGAAATTTACCATCGCTTGATGAAGAGCGGAGAACGTAGCGAGTAACCAAGAGATTTTCCCATACAATTAGAGAATCTACCGCACCCATCTCCAGGGCTCGCAGAGTATCATCCACACCGAAACAATACTTTCCAGTATCCTGAAGAAAGTTTAAATTTCAAAGAATTGCCAGCTTACTTGCGAGATTTCATCAAAATATCGTTGGATAAGCTTTTTTTCTTGAATAAATTTCACTCCCGCAAGCGTATCACTAGCGAGTTCGATAGCCTGATTAAATCCATTTTCACCACCATACGAGATGTCCACAATTTTTAGCACTTTAGCTTGGAGCCGCTAAACAATAGTGAGGAAGTAAGAATACAAATATAAGCGGGAACCTTACAATATCAAACATGCCAGATTGGCTGAGGTCAGTTTTGAAATCAGCTAAACCAGCTAGGATAAGGCCCTCAACATTAACCCGATCGTTTGTTATGAACAACTGCACAGCAGTCTCTGCGACCTTACGTACGTAGTTATGACGTTTCTCCATGCGCAGACGTGCGAAACGAAGTGCGGATTGACCACCTCTTCCGTGTTTTTTTGGGAGTTCAACATTAAATTTGTGAAGAACTTCACGAGTATTTCCCGATAAAGTTCCGAAAAGAGTCCCACTACCATCCATGATAATAAACCCAAATTTACTATCATCTGTAAGCAGAGCCGTCAGAGCTTCAGTGTGGAACTTGT